CTTTTCATTGAGTTGTGTTCTTTTCTTAGCCAGTGCGTATATGGCCATGCACGTTATCCTGGTTTAATGAACGCTCTAGCAACTTTGTGCCTCCAAAGTTCCATAGGGAGCGACCCCACTCCCACATTCACATAGGTGAGTCTATCAAGAGTACCCCCAAAGTAAAGTACTCCACCCAACATAGGGTATAGATCTCATTAAGAGTTATTAACCCAACCTCCATTGCTTTGGGATTCATGCTTCACTATGCATGAACTTTTCGCATACTACTCATGACTTGTTATTACCCATTGAACCCATTTCTTGGGATCTCCAGTCTATTGGGTCGGGTTACCATCACTAGTAGCCCGTGGTTCGGTAGGCATAAGTCCCATACCCTTGGTGGTATTCTGGACTTTCTCTCTAGGTAATCCTTTCGTCAAAGGATCAACTAGATTCTTTTCGGATCTTATATGATCCACCCTCACTGCTCCTATCGTTAGGATTTCTCTAGCAGTACTGTGCTTACGACGTCGTTTCTTTCCGTTATAGAACTGGTTCTCAACTTTAGCAATAGCTGTGGTACTATCACAATGGATCAATACCGGAGGGATCATCCTTTCCAATAGGGGAATCTCTGACAACAATCCTCTCAACCAACTTGCTTCTTCACTAGCCGTTGCTAGTGCTATCATCTCTGATTCCATATTTGATTGAGCTAGGATTGTTTGTTTCTTTGACTTCCAAGACACAGCTCCACCAGCAATGTTAAAAACATACCCGCTGGTTGCCTTGGAGTCATCTGATAGGGTATTCCAATCCACATCACTATACCCTTCTAGTACAGCAGGAAACCTTTGATAGTGTATACCAAGGTTTGCTGTTCTCTTGAGGTATCTCATGACCCTCTCTATAGCATTCCAATGCTCTCTACTAGGATAGCTGTTAAACATGCCAAGCAATCCCACGTCATATGCAATGTCTGGTCGAGTGTAATCCGCAGCATAACGGAGACTGCAAATGATGCTAGCATATTCTGATTGTCTTACACTGTCTACAGTGTTCTTAAATAGCTTTACACTAGCATCATACGGAGTACATGCAGGTTTACAGTCGAAATAGTTATTCTGATTGTATTACACTGCAAATGATGCTAGCATATTCTTCAAGATCTTCTCTATGTAGCTAGATTGATCTAGAGAATAACTATTTGTTGTTCTAGTTATCTGGATTCCAAGCATAAACTTTGCTTCTCCTAGATCTTTCACCTCCAAGCTCTCTTTCAACATGGCTTTTGCTTCATTGACCACGTGAATATTTGTACCAAATATTAACATGTCATCTACATACAAACATATGATAGTACAAGTGTTATTCTCTGACTTGCAGTAAATATACTTGTCAGTTTCTTTAACCTTAAAGCCATGTTAGAGAAGGAGAGTTTCAAACTTCTCATGCCACTGTTTTGGAGCCTGTTTCAAATCATATAATGATTTGTCTAACTTATAGACTTTCGAGGCATGTTCAGGGATAACAAACCCTTCTGGTTGTTCCATATATATTTCTTCATCCAGATCACCGTTCAAAAAAGCAATCTTAACATCCATTTGGTGTACCACGAGATTGTTCAAGGCAGCAAGAGCAATCTTAACATCCATACTGGTGAATAGGTATTGAAGAAATCGATATTCTCTCTCTGCCTGTAGCTCTTAACTACTAGGCGAGTCGGAACCTTTCGATTGCACCATCAGGTTTCTGTTTCGTTTTTAGAACCCATTTATTACCTAAGACTTTGCAGCCAGGAGGTAAGTCTGTTAGATGCCAAGTCTTATTAGCTTCTAACGATTCCATTTCATCTATAACGGCCTCATTCCAAAAGTCTGCATCTATGGAAGTTAATGCTTCCTGCAAACTTTTTGGATCTTCGAGGGTGTATATTGTAGTAAAGTCATCACCAAAATATTTAGAGATTCTAACTCTTTTAATTCCTCTAAGTTCATCCTCAGATCCAACACCCCCACTAGTTCTGTTATCTCTAATAGCGGGTATTATATTACCCCCACTATTACTCGTTTTAAATGGAAATCGTGTCTCATAGAAATCACCATCAATGGATTCTATTATAGTACGAGCATTCAAATCATAGAATTTATATCCCTTACTATGGGCCGCATAGCCAACGAAGACACATTCATATGCTTGACTAGCCAACTTAATCTTCTTAGGAACCAAAATTCTTACGTAGGCCAAACAGCCCCACGTTCTTAAATAGAACAGATTAGGTGGCTTATTCTTCAAGATCTCATAGGGTGATTTTTTTTTGGAAGACGATTTAGCACATAGCAAACCGTCAACAAAATATCACCCCACCAAGAAGAAGCAGCTCAAGAATTGAGCGTAGTAGCCACAACTAATTCTGTAAACGTCCTATTTTTCCGCTCAGCTTTACCATTCATTTCTGGTGAATATGGTGCCGTGTTTTCATGAATGATACCAAGTGATCTATAGAATTCCTTGAAGGGATTAGAGTCATACTATGATCCTCTATCACTCCTAAGTCTTTTTATCTTTCGATTGCACTGATTTTCAAATTCAACCACAAATACCTTAAACATATCAAGGGCTTCACTTTTGTTTTTCATCAAATAAACAAAGCAATAATCAGAGCAATCATCTATGAAAGTGATAAAGTATCTCTTTCCAGACCTAGTCAACGTCCCATCTAGTTCACAAATATCAAAATGAATAAGATCTAAGGGTTCTGATTCTCTACTCACAGATTTATGGGGCGTTTTCGTTATTTTAGCTTGGCTACAGAAATTACATTTATCAAATTCATTCATTGAGAGTTTAGGGATATGTCCTAGCTTGCTTAAATTCTTCACAATTCGTGTGTTCACATGATAAAGACGAGCATGCCAAACATTCAAATCACACACCATGTAAACTGAAGAATTCATCTTATTAATTTTGACATTCAACTTGAACATCCCATTACATGCATATCCCTTTCCCACAAAACTCCCATTCTTAGTAAGGGTATACAAGTCTGCCCCAATAGATTGATTAAACCCAGCCTTATTAAGAAGCTATCCCGAAACAAGATTCTTCCTTATCTATGGACAGTGCAACACATCCTTGAGCACCATCTTCTTCTCAGAGGTGAAGTTCAGCTCCACTTCACCAAAACCAGCAACCATAGTGGTGTGAGTAGTCCCCAATAGCAATTTCTTGTCAGCAGGTGCTTCTGTGTATTTTTTAAACATAGCACGATTGTTGCATACATGCTTCGATGCACCTGTATCCATCCACCATCCTTCTGAGTCACTGGTGAGGTTGACTTCAATGATCATATCCGTGATCATGGCTATCAAATCCTCTCTGTCAAGTTAACCCTGGCCGCAGTAGTAGGGTTTTGCTTGTTCCTGCACTTTTCTGCCATATGACCCAGTTTACCGCAATTATAGCAGATAAACAGTGGGTCATTCTTAGAGGTTTGGGCCATGACCTTTTGGTTACCTCGAGAGGCACCATTATGGTGGGGGCGGACCTTCTGGTTCTTAATCTTAAACCCTTTCTGGTTAGGTTTAAGAGCTCTAGGGGTGGGTCGTTTAGCAGTGACGTGAAACACCCTAACCCGGCCGGGTACAACTTTTACTAAAATGCCCTTGATAACTAAAATACCCAAAATCTTAAATTGCAGCAGGAAAATTTTCATAAATAAAATACTGAAAACACCCACTTGTAGTTCAAAGCAAAGCCCTAACACGTGGGCAAATTAAAATCAAACTTTAAAATCTCAATATGATCTCCAGTCTATACTCATAATCAAAAAATTCAAATAACTAGGTAGTCTCTGTCGTTGTTGCTACTGAAAATCCTAACAAGGCATCTTCCGTGACGCTTGCCCTGCCCTCCTCTAGTTGGTTTCCCTCAAACTTCTCCTCTCGAACTTGCTGCTCTCTAACTGCTCCTCTAGCTAGCTGCTACCGATTTGGTTCTCGCACATTCCCTTACTAAGTCCTGGTGAGTGAGCTGTGGTCAGTCTACGCCCTTACGTTTTAAATTTCTACTGCTTAGTACTTTACTTAAAACACTTACTTAAATTTGTGGAAATTGTTTGTACTTCCACTCTTAAAACTCCTAACTCTTAAAACTGTATGGGAGTTACTGTTACTCTCCATTCTTAAAGCTCAAATCTCGACTTAAATACTTGACTGACACGTGGATCCATCACTAGCTAGTCCGGTTGCCAACTCATACATATGAGAAGCCATCCAGGCTTTCCTTATATTAAACTTATCGTGGAAGGCTCTTCTTCCACGATTCTCAAGAGCATAACTTCTGCTCATCTTAAAAATCTCAAGAGCATAACTGCTGCTCAACTTAAATATCTCAAGAGCATAACTGCTGCTCTGTCTCAAAGATCTCCAGAGCATAACTGCTGCTCTATATGAAAATCTTGAATGGCAACGGACTGGCGCTAGCGCCTCAAAACACTTAAAACGACTTCTCCTTCTTGAAGGTGAATTACTTCCTTAAAAGAACTTGTTTCTTAAACTTTAACCATAACTCAAACATAACGCTTTAAGGTAAATAGTACAAAATCACCTCAAAGAGCACAAAATCACCTCAATAATAGTTCAAGCAAAGCACAAATAAGCAATCATAAGCATAACCAAGCAATGGTAACCAATTTGCTAAAATATTCAAAATCATAATACTTAAAAGAATACATAAGGCGTAGAATTTACCCCATTTACACTCATCTTACTTCCGTCGGAACTGGCTCTGATTTTGCTCCAATGTTTTCATACTCGCTTCCAAAATAATAGCACACTCCTACTTGCTTGAATAAAATGGACCAGCTTGCTTAACAAATGGACCAGCTTGCTTCGGTGGGGATGGCAATAACGACGAGGTAGCTTGCTCGCTCTCAACCCAAGACGAGCTTGCTTAAGCAAGCAGCTCTCATAGTAAAGGAGGGAACCGTTCGCTGGTCCTTGATCAGCCCTCCATCGATGCCTCATGCCTGCTTCTCGCCATCGTCCGCGGCAGCTTCCCCTGCGATAAGACGAGATCGTCCACAACGGCTGTCGAAGCTCCTCAATCAGCCCTCCATCTCATCCCTGCAGGCAATAACCATGAGACGAGCTTGCTTAAGCAAGGGAGGGCTGCCCATCGCTTTCCAGCCAATGATCCCGCTCGCCCCCGATGTCAGTGGCGCCCCATTGAGGCAGAATGTTCTGCTGCTTTCTCCCGCCGCCCTCCTATCATGCTCTGTGCTTGTCCGAGGAAGAAAGGTTGCACGAGGGGAAGGAGAGCGGAGACGGTTTAGGGTTTTCAACAAAGCCGAGCTGTGAACTAGGGGGTGTGGGATTTAATTGTTGCAATGAGGCCGAGTGGTGAACTAAGGGGTCTAAGAGTAGGGTATTTTGGGAATTTTGCAATTACGGGTGAGTTTGGTCCGAAACTTTTTCATTTTTTGTCGAAACTCAACACTGGTTAACTCGAGAATTGACACTTTTAGTCCTCATCGTTACGATAGAATTTGACAAATTCCTCAAAGGGTATAATAGTCATTTTGACTTAAGGTAAAGGGCGGGATGTAACATTTCTCCTCTCGTTGGAAAAATTTCTTCCCCGAAATTTGCTCGAACTTCACTCTTCTGTTAGCTCCACTTTTGTACTTTATTGTCATGACTTCTTGTTCTCCTTATGTGAACTCCAATGGTTCCTTTTGCTTGACCCCATATAGTTTACTATAGTTCTTATACGTACCCTTGACCATAACAGGTATCGTCACCTAGCTCGGTAGCATCGTGCAGCTTTGAGTGACTACTTGTACTTTTTAATTCCACAACTTGGGGCCAAGGCATGATGGAAAAAAATTCCGAATCAATTTATTGGTCCAACTCATTCAGTACTTGTTGTTGAACCTAAATCGAAGTCCAGGTATCACATTTCCTCCTGACACGCTATGACACAACTCCTAACAATGGCCAAGTGTAACCAATGAAAGGGACTGCAGCATAGTGGCTCGAGTAATAAATATTGAATCCACGGGTCTCTAGAGTTACTACTACTCAGCATCAGTTCATTATCTAGCAAACCAAATTAAGATGGAAGAACTAAAACTACTCTGACAAACTACAGTTAAAGTTAATCTAATTACAGGTTGGGAACTCACTTAGGTATGATTCCCCCTAGCCACTGGCCAGATTAATGATTGATGATCTCAAACCTGTTTAAATTTCATTCACAATGCGGAGAATCCTTGACTAGACCTTGAGTCTCGACTAAAGGAACAAGGCCCTCTTGAGTCAATTGCCTAGAGGGACGTATCCTTCTCTAGAACAACCGATCAAGGCGTTCTGAACTAGACTCCCTCTATCGAAAGAGGTTCTCAATCGATACAAAGCAGTGAATCAACCCTCGACTATCAATCTATGGTGCTCTATTGACCTAATCAGGTATTCGCTCTCATAGGATCAAAGCAGAATTAATAATCTCGACTAAAGCATAATTGAATCATAAAAAAGTGCATAGATTGAATATGAACTCAAGATTATCAAGTAGGAGTACTCATACAATCATCCAATCAAACAAACATGGCTAGGGTACCTCAAAACCTAAGTGAAGGGAAGTTACTTCATAGAGAAGAGAGAGACTGCAGTAAGAATCTTCAAATGATCAGTCTTCAAGTCCGGGCTTGTTCCTCGAGCTTCCAAGGCGAAGAAATCCTCCAATTTCACTCTTAGAATTCCCTCAAATCGCCCTCTCTCTTTTGTTCGTCCCTTGGGTGTTTAGGATCCAAAACCCAGCTCTCCCTTTCCTTTGGCTTCAATCTGCCTAAAAAACCCAATTGTGGGCAAAACACGGTCAAGAACTCGGCCGTGTTTTACTTTTGCCCGCCCGTGTTTTGCCCATAGCAGCCCTTGTCATCCAAAACACGATCGTGCCTAAATATGGACACGGCCGTGTTTTTCTTTAGGCCAACCTGTGTTTTTACTTCCGAACCTGTTCCCCTATATTCAATGCTTCGTTTCTCCCTCGTCCGGACTCCGAATCAGTCGCCGTTTGATCCCAGACGCTCGTAATCTTGTCCTCTTTATTTTCATGACAAAATTTCATGATTATTTGTCCTTAAAGTGAGGTATAAATCCATTCTTCTTCAGTTCATGCCCGAGTTTCTTCTCCCTAATCGCTAATTGATCTCTGATTGACATGAAACTTGCGCCTATGCTTCACTTTATGTGCTAGGACCTGAAATGTAACAAAGGAACACAACCTAGCGTAAAATAGGCCAAAGAAGCGATAATTAAAGCTCAAACGATCAAGAAACAGAGGGGAAAACATGTGCAAATATCGAGTCATCAAATCCCCCCACACTTAACCGTTTGCTTGTCCCCAAGCAAACCTAACTCAAACCAATGCAGCACTCCAGACCTCTATAGCAACAAACAACCCCGATCCTCAGTAGAGGACTTTCTAGATCATAAAGCAGCTTATGAGGTCAACTGGTCTTCTAAGACGTCCCCTATCTCTCTCAATGCGAGTACTAGACTCAAGCTAGGATCATGAGAAGAAGTAGAAGTAAGACGGTCAGTTCATGGATAAAGGGACTCACACCATTCACAACCAAGGACTCGTTGTACTGGGGTTCTCTTTCACTTCATTTCACCATTGGAACCCCTTTTTCACTTTCATTTTACTTCTTTTTTTCTTTCTCACTCACTTAGCGGTGGTTCCAATTGCAGTCTTTTGCACGGTCGACCCTTATTAGTAGAGCAAGAGCAATTTTTGTACATCTGACGCTTGCCAGAGTACTTCTTTTAACTCCTTTTCCTCAACTCGTGTGGAGGGTCAATGAAATTAAGGGGGGTCGGAAGCTCTATCCGTGCCCTTAAAAACACATCCTCAAGTAGGCAAACCGTTCACCGGGTGGAAGTTTTTCTTGTACTAGAGACAGCTTAGATTCACCTTGTAGGAGTACCCCACTAAGGATCACTAAAATCTCTTCCAAAACCCGATTTTGTGCAATGAACGGTGCCACACACGTTGGGCTTACCCCATGTTTAAGATTTAATGATTTCGACATGGAGGACCAACTGCTTTTCATTTTTCACATGAGCACCCTGTTCGATACACGAGTCCATAACACAATCCAAACAGAGTCACCATTACCACATGAATTCAACGGTCTTAGCTCCACTAATTCACAAAATCAACTGGCACAGCAGAGAGTTAGATAGGAAAAATCTTATACTTCAACATCCTCCATAGTGCTACACTACCTCCCTAGGTTGCACATTACTATAGAGACTGTCAATTCAAAGCATACTGAGCAGGCAATTTGCAAGGAAACACGTACTTGGAGCCCTCAAATTTAAAATTTTGGGCAGTGGACTAGGCTCCAAGCACACAAACAGCCAAACTTTCACCTGCATACATAATCGAACACCCCCCACACTTAAGCACGACATTTTCCTCAATGGAGGAAAGATAAGAAGGATAGAACGAAGTTACCATATCAAGGGTGAATGATGGTGGACGAGGCAGGCGGGGCATTCCAGGAGGAGAGAGTAGTCGGAACACAAACACCACACAAAATCTCACAAAGGTTGAGTTATTGACTCTAAAATCAAATAACAAAACTGACTCAACCGAGGAGAAAAAGAGAAAGAAATGAAAATCGACTGGTTGGGTTTCCTCCCAACAAGCGCTTCTTTCACGTCGTGAGTCGGATGATGGCTCCTAAGTTTCGGTCCACCCCAAAACCTCCTTGAAGTTGAGGTTCTCGTCGATGAGGTGGAGTCTTAAGTCACGAGCATGTGGTATGACAGGTGATGGAAGCTCGTGCACTTGATGCAGATAACGTCTCCACCCTCAAGACCTCTTCTTCTCTTCTCTCGTCTCATTGCCCCAAACTAGATATGACAGCATCGATTGACCACCATCGCGTCCACCAAGAGGGACCGATGTCGACGTGGCCTTGGTCTGGCAAAGAGACACTGCAAATGGGTCCTTGCTAAGAAGTTCCTCGAAGTTTGATGGAGTATCACATGTAACTCATGGCCGGTGCAGGCCTCTTCCACCTTAACTCCGTCCCTAGCCTGGAGTACGCCAATTGCTTCTTCAACCTCCCTTTCTTCTTCATGTGGTATCACCCCTGGGAAATGATCAAGAATTCCTTCTGCTTCACTTTCCTCATCCTCCACAACTTCTTTCTGCACCTTTTCTTGATCTTCTTCTTCTAGCACGGATTGGAGAGCAAGTTGCCAAGCAATTTCTTTCATGAGATCTTCTTGCATCTCCACACTCATGCCCGTCTCTTCAAAGCTCAGTTTGGGATGTGGGAAGGTGTGGTTCCTCCTCCTCTTCCATTATGGTAGCAGAAGGGTGATCTGGAGCATATTGTGCACAAGATCGCTCAAGATCATCGACGCTCTTCTTAAGGCATAGGAGGATCTCCTCTGTTTCACGAAAGGCCTGGGTGCAAAGATCCATCCTAGCCCATGATCTCTCAATGTCTCGAGCAAACTGCTCCATGAGAAGCCTCAACTCATAATTTGGATCTGGTTGTGGAATGTAGCATGGCTCTGCAGAATGGCCCGTGAAGGCCGCCATGGGTAACTCCAGCTCCAATGGCCCTTCTGGTTGTGGGAGAAATTCTTCTTGGTAATGAGGTTGTTCTTGATATGCACAGGGGTATGATTGTTCTCCGTAGTAAGGGGGTTGGTAATGGAATCCGAATCCATAGTCTTCTCGTCCTTGATTGCTCCAGGGGGTCTCGGGGTAATACCACCCAAATGGTGGTGGATACCCCCAATGGTTGGAGAAGCCATGCGGATCCATGATTCAGATCTGCACCAACAAAAACAAAAACACCCAAGTGAAAAGCAAGGGTGGAAAAGAAAAGAAAAACGCTAAAGTAACAAACTTCTGCCTTTCCTAATACACTAGAAAGTCCCCGGCAACGGCGCCAAAAACTTGACACGCTATGACACAACTCATAACAATGGCCAAGTGTAACCAATGAAAGGGACTACAGTATAGTGGCTCAAGTAATAAATATCGAATCCACGGGTCTCTAGAGTTACTATTACTTAGCTTCAGTTCATTATCTTGCAAACCATATTAAGATGGAAGAACTAAAACTACTCTAACAAACTACAGTTAAAGTTAATCTAATTATAGGTTGGGAACTCACTTAGGTATGATTCCCCCAGCCACTAACCAGATTAATGATTGATGATCTCTAACCTGTTTAACTTTCATTCACAATGCGAAGAATCCTTGACTAGACCTTGAGTCTCGACTAAAGGAACAAGGCCCTCTTGAGTCAATTGCCTAGAGGGAC